TAATTTAAAAAAATTTTTATAAGATTTTATTTATTTGTCAGAGAGAAACCACAAGAAGGGGGAGCGGCAGAGGGAGAGGGAGAAGCAGGCTCCCCACTGAGCCTGGAGTCCCAGTAGATCCCAGGACCCGGGGATCATGACCTGAGCAGAAGGCAGACGCTTCACCAACTGAGCCACCCAGGCATCCCTGAAGTGGAATTTCAGATGGATGGAGGTAGCAGCATCGTTTTTTAATCTCCCCAAACCCTCTCACGGAAATAGATCAACCAAAACCAAATGCCCATGGGTAGCATTTGCCATAAAATTAGAAACCCCTAATATAAGGGGGTGGGTATAATGTAAGCCATAACAGTTGTTTTTTCCTTTTTTTGTAATGCAAATGCCTGACCTAAGCTTTGATTACTGAGTTACCCATTTCTGCATCCCCTTCAAAGACAGTTATTTCCAATAAACACAGTACTAGCCATATGGGGGAGAAATACCCAGGCCACCTTCCCCCAACTGAGACTCCTCTGATTTAGAAATCTTGGTCAGTTTCAATAACTGACTTTTTTGGACCACTTGTGTTTTCTTTTCCCATTACTTCCCACTCCTATGTTTTAAATTCGCCACCAAGGAGTAAGTGCTTGAAACTCTTGCCCCCCCACCCCTCTTAACCCCAACCAGAGCAGAACCCCTTCTTCCAGTGCTCTATCTCTACCTGCAACCTCCCTGTGGGGCTCCAGGTATGCTGAGTAATTCCCAGGTCTTGTAAATAATAAACCTCTACTTTTTCAAGCTTTCCTAATGGAGATCGCTAAAGGACTTGAAATCATAGTAAGACTCAGAGGGCTGCTCCAACCACATTGGTTATAGATGGGCTGAGTCAGGCATGAAACAGTAGGGCAGAGCACCGCTGCCCACAGGCACAGATCTGCCTGGCCAGGGTGTCTGCGCAGGAGGCAGGAGTAGACGGATGGCCTGGACGGCAGGAGGACTTCAAACTGCTAGCTGGTATTCACTCAGCAGATGGGCCAATGTGAGAACAGCAACTGAGACCCGGAGAGGTCTTGTCCACTCACCTAGTGGTTATGTACGAGGGGACCCGGAGGGTATCTAAAGGTCTGGGGGCTCTCGCCCCCTCTGTCTGGACACTGAGCAGCCAGAGCGCTGATCCAGGATGTGGCCCGGAGAACAACAGACACAAAGGGAAATGTCTTGATGGAAGTCTGGAGAAGGCAACAGAGCCAGGAAACCTCAGAAATCAAGCTGCCATGTTTTTGAATGCTACATTTCACAAACAACGACGACAATCCGAAAAGCAAATCCAGTGCAGTTAGAAAACCGGTCCTCAACCACCACTCCTTTCCCAAGTGCATGAACACTGATTTCACTTAAAACATGGAGAACAAACAAAGGATTGAGATCTAGTTTTATACAAAGGTAGTGTGGGGTCTGTCTCCCAGATCGCTTGGCGGGCCCCCAGGTGTGGGGCAAGGATCCGAAGGAAGCTCGGTGCTGGGAGGAGAAGGAATTCACCCGCAGGCAGAACAAAGGAGAGAGAAGTTTATTGAATCCACCGCAAGGTGGCGGCAGCGGGACAGAAGGAGGAGGCTGTCCGCGAGGAGACAGCGGGTAGAGCTGTATTTAAAGAGGGAGGGTGAGGAGGGATGGGACGTAGGGAATTTTTTGCTATAACTGTGCCTGGTTGTAAGTAGCCCACTGGTTAGTTAGGGCCTATGGATATTTCGAGGTGGGTGCCCAATGGGTCCGAGTGTGTCCAGCCACATGGTTGCTCCAATCAGTTTGCCTAAAAAAGCAGCCTCTACATGCAGCATCAGAAAATGAGAATAAGGAGCAGAAGAGCTTCCCCTCAGACGTGGAAAGTAAGTCATAAAAGACAGGCCCACAAAACAGATCAAAGTCGGAACATGCAATTTCAAAACAAGCTAGAAGACATTAGAAGACACAATGCAAAAGATGAAAGAATACGGGGCGAGTGAGGGAAGGGCAAGTTAACATCCAACAGCTCCAGAGTTTCTTTTTGGGGTGATGAAAAAGCTCTGCAAGTGGCAAATGGCATTTTGGATTTTGTTCTATTTCCGTGAGAAGGTTGGGGAGATTCAAATACTAGGCTGCTGCCTCCGTCTTTCTTTCCTGCTCAATTTTTGGACATAATTATTATTTTTTTAAAGATTTTTTATTTATTTATTTGACAGAGAGAGATCACAAGTAGACAAAGAGGCAGGCGGAGAGGGAGAGAGGGAAGCAGGCTCCCTGCTGAGCAAAGAGCCTGATGCGGGACTTGATCCCAGGACCCTGAGATCATGACCCGAGCTGAAGGCAGCGGCTTAACCCACTGAGCCACCCAGGCACCCTGGACATAATTATTTTAAACGTGGATGGTGTGGATGGTCGCGCCACATCAGGCATGTCGTTACTGCAGCTGAATTCTATGCTTAAAAATGGTTAAATGGTCAATTTTGTGTATGTGTATTTTACCGTAACAAAACAAAACAAAAAAAATGAAAGAACATAAATCAGAATTTGGTGAGGTGAAAGAGCTCAGGACAGAATTAAATAAATTTTAAAATTTCCGAAATGAAGGCTTCAATTGAAAATAACAAGAGTTATTGAACTAATGGATAATGCCTTAAGTGAAATAAACAAGAAAAGTAGGAAATTTTTAAAAATAAAAAAGAAGATAAAAAGAATTCTAGAGAAATGGCAAATATAAAAGATTGGCAAAAAAGCCAGGACAACTCCGAAAAGAGTAATACAAACACATGTAAGAATTTAGCATGCTATAAAAGTGACATTGCAAATCAGTGAGACAAATTAGTCAAAACACTGTAATATATATACATGTTGAGACAAATAATTTTTCTGGAAGGATTCACAGTGTGGCAAAAGTAGATGTCTCTAAGGGAGCAGGGAAACAGGCAGCTAGATATTTCTGTTGAATACCTTCTGTACCTTGTCCTATCATGTGAATTGATTACCTCTGAAGTCTGACTGCCTGAGATCAAACCCCAGCTCCCCTGATTGCTAGCGCTTAACCTTCAGCAAATTCTTGACACTCTCCAAGCCTATCTCATTATTTGTGAAATGGAGTGAATAAACTCTCAATAAACGTAAAATACAAGTAGAAACAACCCAAATGTCCACAAACTGATGAATGATTAAATGAATGTGATAGAACCAGGCAATTAAATTATCACAGTCCTAAAAGGCAATGATGTGGACACTCTACAACATGGATGAACTTTGAAGACAGGCTAAGTGAGAGAGGTCAGACACAAAGGTCACGTATTGTATTATTTCATACATATGAAATGCCCAGAAAAGGCAAATCCAGACAGACAAACAGAAAGCAGATTCCCTAGTTGTCAGGGGCTGAAGGGAGGAGGGAATGAGAAGTGACTGCTAATGGTTAAGGGGGTTTCTTTTTGGGGTGATGAGAAAGTTAGGGGTTAGATAATGATGGTTGCACAAGCTTGCGAAAGTACTAAATGACACTAAATTCACAGTCTCAAAAGGTGACTTTTATGGTATGCTAATTATATCTCAATACAAAATAATTTTAAAATGCAAAGTACCAGTTTTCCCACGGTGACTTTCGGCAGTCCTCGCCCTCCCCCGCTCCATTCCCTTTAAGGCTTCTCCCCTCCCCTCCCCTCCCCTCCCCACCCTCCTCCCCCCTCTCCCCCCCCCCCCCCTCCCCCCCCCCCCCCCCTCCCCCTCCCCCCCCCCCCCCTCCCCTCCCCCCTCCTCCCCTCCCCTCCCCTCTTCTCCCCTCCCCTCCCCTCTTCTCCCCTCCTGATGCCCCACCATAGGGCACAGCTAGACCCTTGGCGCATGCGTGCTGCTCTGGTAGGCACGCTACCCAGAGCGCTCCGACACCCGCTGTTCCTACCTTGAGGGGAGGGACCCCTCCAGCGGATTTTTCTCGTGAGCTTCGGTTGGACATGTTTAGAGAAGACAGCACGCGCCAGGGTCGATGGAGGACGACCTAGCAGGCCCCTCAAGTTAACATTTAGGTCCCTCCAGAAGTTTGATCTCGATGACCAGTAACCTCTGGACGCTGTGCCCTGAAAGCCGGGTTGGCTGCCTACGGGCGCTCGAAAATACTGAAGGCTTTGGAGCCCTGTAGGCCTCAAATGGAAGCCTTGTTCTCCGCCTGCAGCGTGATCTCAGCCCATTGCTGAATCTCGCTAGTCAAGTGGCCCAGCGGGACTAGCCTTGCATGTTGTCGTGCACGTTCACTGCAGCGGTGCATTCGCAGGCCTGGTGCACAGGTGTTTAGGAGACGGTGATTTTTATCCCAGGCTGGGTTCTGGAGGGCCCTCCTGCTGCTGCAGGTCACTTGGCTAGGCTCCTGTTACCAGCCGCCCCCAGGATAGATGTGAGCCCTTGCCATCCATCTGGTAGATCCCCCTATGATTTGTACTCCCCTTACCCAACCATAACCCTAAATGGATAAGGCAACCCAAACCTTCTAGAGGGGTGTCCCGAGTCTCTTGTTTTCAAAAATCCCTATCTGGTGGACATGGGATGTAGGGCCAATCTCCATGAAAAGCTTTTCCTAGTCAAGCAAGACTCATCTGTCATCTTCAAGTCTACTCAAAATGTCTCCTTTTAAGCCTCACCTCAGACCCTGATTCTGCCATTTCCCCCACTCCTGCTTTTTATGAACCCATAAAATCTCTCTCCCCATTTGGCCTTCGTAGGCCTAGATCAAGTTCCTTCTTCTTCTTTTCTTCTTGCCTTTTTCTCTTTTCTCCCATCCAACTTCCCATTCTTTCTCATCAGCCTTTGATCCCCACCCACACCAAAGAAAGACCACAGTTAACAGCATCTCAGAACTCAAGAGGCTTCTTTATTTCTAATCTACTAATTCTATTTATGATGTTTTATTAAGTCTTAAAATATATGCAAATAAATAGAGAAACTTATACCTATCTATCTATATATGCATGAACAGCGGGTACCCAGAGTGGTACAAACAATCTTAGCATCTCTTATATTGCATAGCCATAGTATCGAGCAATATCCATATCCTTTTCCCTCTCGATGAAATATTGCACTTTCCCCAAAGAGGTGTATTTGGCAGCATTCTCACGCTCTTGCTGAGCCTGCCTCTTCATGGCCTCCCTCTCTGGCCTCTGCTCTTTTGTGATGGGCTTTGACATGACTGGCTCAGGAACATTGGGTTTCCTCCACGGAATTGGTTGAAAGCAGAAGTCTTGGAGTAGAAATTGGCTTTGAGCTTTGGGTGGCGACTGGGGCTTGGTCACAGCGATGGGGACAGGCTCCCGCTGGAGAGAAGTGCAAGATGATGTTTTGTAGGGTGCAGGCCTCGAGGCAGCAGACTGCGGGACACTAGGCCGGGTCGGGTTGGTCAAGCCTGGGCGGGTGGGATTGGTCGAAATTGGCCGAGCTGGTCTGGCAGGACCTGTCAAGGAGGCAGGAGTCGGCCGGGATGAATTGACTGCAACAGGCCGAGCTGAGCTAGTAGAACCAGGCCGGGCAGGGTAAGCCATGGCGGACCGATGTGAAGCCAGAGACTGTGGCCTCCGAGGAACAGGTCGAGCTTGAGGCTTCTCGTAGGTTGGAAAAGGCAAAGGCACCAACTTGACCTTCCCAGGAGGTGGGAGCTCATACTGGGATGGAGATGGACACTCTTTGTCAGCACCTCTGTCTGGTTTCTGGACTTTGACTTGTTTTTTCTCAGGACCTTTGCCCTCACGTGGTGTATCAAGCCATGGTTTGATAGCTGGGGGTCGCTGGGCATTTCTCGAGTTGCCAGAGCTTACCAGGGCCCGGGAGGAAGACAGCCCAGTTTTCTTATCACTCTTCTTCCCCAGGGCATGAAAAACCTGCACAGACTCCAACATGTGCATGCCTAGGCAACTTCGAGGCTTCTTAAAGCTCTCTTGGCTAAGCTCGGGTTGATTTTTCTTCCGCTTCCCCTTGGGAATGGTTGGCTTCTCTTCTGCCTTGACTTTGTTTCCAGACTGCTTACTCTCTTCTGCTTTCTTGGGATTGTTTTCTCTGGTCCTTTTGGTCTTTTCCTGCCCATGGCTCTTCGTTTTGCTGGTCCTGCTGGATGCCGCTTTCTGAGACTTGCTGTTGGAATGCTTGGCCCTGTTCACAGGAGCCCTGTCACCGTCTGCAACACTGCAAATAATCACGTCTTCCCCTAACAGGCACTCTGGGTTCTTCGCCTGGATTTTGGTCTTGGGAGCACCGTTGATCGGCTCAGTGGCTTTGTGTTTGTTCTTCCTGACATGATCAGAGGGAGCCTTTACGACACTTGACTTCTCTTGCCCCTGTTTCAACTTGCTGACTCTGGTATCTTTGGCTTTCATCACCTTGGGACTTTTGGCTTCATCAAGGTCTTTCAAGGAATTAAAGAGCTGGGGAAGATGAATGTCCTCCACCAGTGTAGCGATGTCTGCAAAACCACTACTAGATTCAATCCCATTTTCAAGGGTCACTTGGTCTTCAAGACCCAGGGTATTTTTTCCCAGATCGGTGTTTTCAGAAATAGGCTTCTCCTCCTGGCCCAGGGGATCGATGCAGGCCAGGAGCTGGTGAATATCAGGAATTTCTAAAGGAAGTAGGGGAGGCTCTTGGTTTTCTATTGGGATCTGGTAGACATCCAGAGGCTTTGAAAGCTTGGTTTTAATACCATCCAAATTCTTATTCTCTGTTTGTTCCTGGCTTGGAGCTGGAGGCAATGCCAGGACATTATTAGAACTCTGGACTGGAGCTATCATTGAGATGTCTCCAAGCTCAGGTGGTGGGTTACTTTCAAGGATCTGGATATTTCTGCTACTGCAGGACTTGGGGAATTCTGGAGTTTGTGGCAGACAATATGTCTGACTCGGAGGTTGCAATCCCAGGGAAGTCTCCATCACTACAAAGGAATCAAGGAAAAAGTCATTCCCTGGTAAGTGAGATGCTCCCCCTAGACACTAACACAGGAATCATGTACCTTCCAGCAATGGGCAGGGCGGTTCTACCAGCCTTTCTTAAGGATCAAGGACAGCAGGGTGTGCTAGGAGATACAGGAGGTGACTTCTAGTTCTTACAGGTGATCATTTGGTGTCATTAGTTCTTGGTTTTCTTTGTATTTTATAGGGTTGTTATAAGTCAAATAAGAAGTAAAGTGGTTTTTATATTATGAATTTTCAACAAAGCCTAGCCTTCTCATATAGAGTCACTTCAAGTCTCTCCCCTTTCCTTAGAGAATAAGAATGCTTCACACAGTGAACTGGGAGAGGGAATGGAGCTCTTCCTGATAAAATACACAAGCGAGGGTAAATTCTTAGCCTGCTTGCTCTGGACAGGATCTCGGAAGGTGAGGTCTCAAATCCTGGTGTGAATTAAGGAAGTGAGGAAAAGTTGGCTAAGAAAAAAAAAAAAAGAAAGAAAGAAAGAAAGAAAAAAACTGGCTCCATCCCAACAAGAGTTCCGAGACACTTTCCAAAGACACTGAAGCAATAGCTCAGGGAAGGGAACTCATTACTGTGGGACAGTATGGGGAGGCTGATTGGCTAGGGCGGTGACATGTGTGGCAGCCCTCACTATGCTCTTGGGGTTCCTGCACCTGCGGCTTAGCTGGCCGTCACAGTGTGCCACCTTCCCACCTCCATGCAGGCTTCTGAAACAGAGCCTGAAGGTGGAGAGCACCGAGTGAGGGTCGTGGTTATTACTCTCTCAGGACTTAAGTTCTGCCAAACTGTGGACCCGTTAGCTCTCAGCTGCAGGTTTCACCCTTTTTTGGAACACTGACCTTCTTTCTCTCCCTCTCGCTGCCTCTACTCACCTTGAAAACTTGTTTCTGTGATGGGCTGAGCAGACCCAGAGTAGTAAATTCCAGAGGTGGAAGCTGGTGGGAGGACGTTTGCGGGCTGAACCTCCTTGAGGACCATTACCATTTCTGGCTGAGGGACAGAGGCCCTACTCCCCGCATAGGACACTGAGCCATAGGACTGCAAGCAGGGGCCAAATTCTCCAGACAGTAGAGGCCCCAGTGTGCCTTGATTATAGTAATATACCTGCCTTCCTTCCTGGTAGGGAAGTGCTAGGCCATGTTCTTGATTTGGCATCTGAGATGGTGTTCCCTGAGCAAGGCTGGCAGAAAGCGATGGGTACAGAGAGACCATGCTACTGGCCTCTGAAGTTTTATCATACGGGGCTGCCAGAGACATAGAAGACACAGCTGCGTCCTGGTCAATGACAGTGACGGTGAAGTCTCCGAGTGAAGAGGACTTCTTTTTGGTACTTCCTGTGACATCCCACTCGAAAACCCCGGGATAGGAAGCAGCTGCCGTGGAAAGCTGGCTCTGGCCAGTAACCCCAGACAACATAGTTGTGCTGGAATGTTGGTAAAGGTAGGCACGCCCCATGAGTGGCTGGAAGGAGGCGCCAGAAACTGATGGCAGCAGCCACGCCGAACTGACCGAACTGACCGCCGGAGCGGAGACCCGGGAGAAGTTGCAGACGTTTCCTGTTAGGGAAGCGGCATTGGTTACCACAGGGAGGGAGAGCTGCAGAGAGTTTGGAGGTCCCAGTAAAGATGAATTTGGGAAATTTTCTGTAGGGAACAAGAGAGTGATGAAAAATCAGGGGGATGGATCAATTCTATGCTTGAGGAACAGCATTATCTTAAAACTTGTTGCTACCAGGAAGCCTCTGATACCAACCCTTGCTGAGATATCAAAAGGCAAACCGTGGAGGATGGTGGTTCTGTTCTCTTGTCTAGTCACCGCCCGGGCTCCCAGCCAGGGCCCCCGCGTGCAGCAGACCCAGGCAGGGTGCTTCGTGCATGGTTCTGCAGGCAAAAAGCAGCCTTCTCCCTGCCCTAGCTTTGCGGGGGGGCCTGCCCCCGCAGCCACTCACATCCCACTTCCCAGAATGAAGCGTTTCAGCACTCCCTACGGCTTGGAGAGCCTCTGGTCTCATGTTCTCATTCTCTGAGGGACAAAACTGAGGCTCAGAGAGGTCACTTCGACTTGTTTGAGGTCTCCCCCGACTTTAGGTCTCATTACCAGGTTACAGAGCCTAAGGATCCTGACTTCTTGCCAGGACTCTGCCTGAGCCCCATACCACCAGAAGCCAGGAGAAATGAACGCATATAGACCTTTTCTCCCCACATTAGAGAACAGTACAGCTATGACCATTGTAACTTCAGTGTCTCATTGGGCTTGTGCACTTCTCATGCTGTTACCCAGAGTTCACGTACAGCTCAGTCCAGCTGGTAAATATAAAGTCTGGTGGGCTCAGTCAGAAGGGTGTATGACTCTTGATCTCAGGGTTGTGAGTTCGAGTCCACGGTGGTTATAGAGACTACTTGAAAATAAAATCTTTTTTTAAAAGGAAAAAGGGTCATTTTGACCCTTTAAAACCTGGTTTCTGATTCTACCTCAAAATGACTACCTGAGAGTACGTTTCTCAGGAAGTGCTTTTTGAAAGAAAAAAGTTATTTAAACTCTCTCTGAGTTTCAAATTACTCATCTATAAAGTCGTTATAATAATAATAACAATAATAATGGAAATAATTCTTGCATGAACGTGAATGAAAGTGGTACATTACACTTTTTATATTTCTGTGAAGGAAGATATAATATGTTCTGGAAAGACAGACAAATCATGAAAAACATGTATTGCAGAACTAAGAAGAAATATATAGATATTACCAAAAACTGGGCTATCTAGTGAGCATAATAAGTTCACTAATAAACGAAGTTCTGTATCATGCATGCAATATAGTGGAAGTGAATATTGCTACCCTGTTTTGCCAGAACACAACCCACAACAGAAAGTGATTTTGAATGAGTTCCTAGCCAGTGCATACAGAGAAGATAGATCAGTAAAAATTGCCTCACAAGCAGCAAATGCCATGAATGTGAATGTAAATGTAGCCACAATTTTTACAAATATTTCAATAAAATCTGGTACAGAGCAGAGAGGGAAATAATAACTGTAAAGGAATTCCATTATTGTGTTCATTCACATTTTTTTCTGAATATTACCCAGCAAGTAACAGGTACTAGGTCTAGTAGAAATATATATTTCAACTGTACTCTACCTCTGAAACTAATAATATACTCTCTGTTAATTAACTGAATTTAAGTTAAAAAATTAAATAAAATCAGAAGAAAACAATAAAAAGAGAAATATATATTTCAATATAATCATATAACAAAAAAGAACCCTTAACCTGTACCCCTGGAGCTAATAATACATTATATGTCAATAAAAATTAAAAAAAAAAACACTTAAAAAGCATCATTAGGTTTTTATACTCATCCAAAAATATATTTTAATCATCTTCAACACCTAGGAAAATGTCACCCTCAAAGCCTAAACAAGCCATTGTCACTAACCTCAAATTTAAAAAATTTTAATGTAAGAAAACTAGAGAACTCCACAAAACTGTTTTAGATAAACGTGGAATTAGAGATGTGGGGCTTGACTTTCTTTTTCTTTTTCTTTTCTTGTTAGATTGCTCACTAAGATCTAAAAACAGATGTGTGCCCTCTGTGTTGGGAAGAAAATAACTGTAGAGATGAAAAGCAGCCTTATGATTCAATCTAGGAGATGCCAATTTTTCAACAAACTTAGTCTGACTTTTAACAGGCAAAACATCTACATAGCTTAAAAATCAAAATGAAATAAAACTGAAAATTCTGTTTCTTTCAGCCCCCTTAGATAGCCACTTTTATTAGTTGCTTGTTGATAGGAAGCATCCTTTCTAAATTATATTTCTAAAATGCTTTACATTTTAAACTGTTAAGTGCCATCTGTGTTCAGGGAGGAATGAACAAAACCCAGACTACTGAGTATGACTTTTCCGTAAGCTACTTTTCCTAGTGATGCCCTATTCTGGCCATCCTTTCTTGCCTGGTCTGTTAGTGGAAGTGCTTGCTAAAGTCAGTTTAGTTTGGCTCTGCTCAAAGCAGATTCCAGTTTCTGCTTTCTGCTTTAATTTAAAATCTTTGGTTCTCTCCAACATTCCATCCTAAACTACCTCTTTTTTTTTCTTAAGAGCTCCTCTGTGCTCTTCCCTTTCATTCTTTTTTTTTTTTAAGATTTATTTTTTTATTCTGGAGAGAGAGGGAGAGAGAGAAAGAAGCAGACTTCCCACTGAATATGCAGGGAGCCTGATGCAGGGCTCCATCTCGGGAGATCATGGCCTGAGCCCAAGGCAGATGCTCAACTGCTCAACGGCTCAACTGAATGAGCCACCCAGGTGTCCTGCTTCCCCTTCATTCTCCTATTTTCTCCTCCCCCTTGGTTCCTGTTGGTCTGGGCTGAGGGAAACCATCCTGAACTTCCTTACCTTCGAAGACATGACTCCCTAGAGCCCACTCTTCTCCCTCCTCTTTCCCTGTTTTCCCTTATTGCCCACGCTAGGTAGAAAACTTCAAATCATGTGACTCTAACTTTCTGAACAGCACTAAATTTAAAATACTACAGTTGAAGTATTAGTGGAGGGAACATTTCAGATGAAACTTCTTGGTAAACAGGTTTCTACATAACCTTCTTGGTAAACAGGTTTCTACATAACCTAGGTTTCCTCTCTGTCTGTTGAAACACTCTCAAGAAGTCTCTGATTTCATTTTCTCCATGGGTGCCCTTTAAGACTCACAATTAGAAAAGAAAGGGACCAGAGAGAACAACCAATCTAATATCCTAACATAACAGATGAGGAAAAAACAGATTTTGTGATTCAATGACTCGTCCAAAGTCACACAGCTAGTAAATGCCAAAGTCAAAACTGAAATGAGTTCTCCAGATTTTTAGTTCAGTACTTTCTTTCCCCCATTATTCCATGTTATTTTGAACCTACAACTAAATTTAGAGACAAAAAAAAAATCCAATGAAAAACTTTTAAAAGTTTCTTTCCTTACCAGACATGGTCAGAGAAGAAGAAGAAACATCCACTGCCGAAACAAGGGATGAGGAGCCGATCCTGGAGGATGTCGGAGCGGCTGAAGCCAAAGAGCGCATGTGTCCAGTACGAAGGTAACTGGTCACTGGTCACTGGTCACTGGTCACTTGCGATGATCCAAATTTATTTACAGACAACTCCATGGAAACCCCAAGATTCTACCAGGTGGTGGTAGGTTTGGTGGGAGAATGATGTCACAAAGTAGGCAGTTTAAAGGTATGAGGGAGCCAATGGGGAGGTCAGATTCCCAATAGCAAGATGGGATTGGGTAGAAGGGGTGGTAGGAAAGCTAAGACAACACCTAAGTGGTACCTAACCCTGTAAGACAGATGTGACAGCCCCACTTTCCCCAGGCTCTTATGTTCAGGAAATCATCTCAACGTTTCTTAGAGATGTTCATTAATATAATCAGCAAATAGTTATTTATATTCTATATATCATATTTTTTTAAAGATTTTTTATTTATTTATTTGACAGAGAGAGATCACAAGTAGACAGAGAGGCAGGCAGAGAGAGAGAGAGAGAGGGAAGCAGGCTCCCTGCTGAGCAGAGAGCCCGATGCGGGACTCGATCCCAGGACCCTGAGATCATGACCCGAGCCGAAGGCAGCGGCTTAACCCACTGAGCCACCCAGGCGCCCTATATATCATATTTTATTCTGTGTATTCTACTTTTATAATTTTCCGGTTAATTAACATCCTTAGAAATAAAGGAAAGGCACATCTAGGTTGAACAATTACAGGTGTTCTCAAATAATATTAGTTGATCTGATTAGTGAACTTACTGCAGCTTTTAAGGTGCAAAGGAAGGGATTAAAAAAGCTCTTTTGGTAACTTGATTAAAGAATAGGCTGAAGTTTGTTGAGTGCACCTTGTAGAGAATGATGTGGTGCAGGCTCTTCTCTTTCAGTTTCTTCTCCTTGGATTCTGGCTTTCTTGGACCGGGCTGGCCTGGGCCAGATTGGACTTAGATCTCTCTTCTCTCCTTCATCATAGGCATTGTTTCTGGGACAAGCCTTGACCTTGCATTATTACACTTGTGGATGTTACTTCTGGTCAACTTCCAGCCGCAAGGGTCTTCTTTTCGGTGCCTGACACTTCCCAAAATGAATTCTGCCCATTAGAAGCAAACAGCAGAGAGCTGGAGGACACAGCTGATTGCAGACCTTTCCTTTTCCAGCATTGGGTTGCAATTCTCTTTGCCCATAATTTGTTACCTCTGGCCCTTGGGGCCACACGGGTATGCTGCCATACTGTTCTTTTATAGGTAAGAGGCATTGGTGGCATTCGGGATACTTTTCCTTTTTCCTTCTCACTTAAGTGTATCCAGTGTGGCAGTTACTGTAGCCTCTGCCCCCCCTTGCAAACAGCCACTGTAGAATCTTGGGCCTCTAGGATTCTCTGCCTGCCATGTTTGGGTGCAAGATCAGGCAAAATGAAGAGGAGAATAGTTAGAGAAAGAAGAGGATATTCGTTGAGAATAGGGAACATGCAGAGTGAAAAAGTACAGGAAGAAAGAGATTCGTGTGGATTTTTGGCTTCCGTGAGAAATAAACTGACAGTGGGGTGCCTGGGTGGCTCAGTTGGTTAAGCATCTGCCTTCAGGTCAGGTCATGATGCTGGGGTCCTGGGATGGAGTCCTGTGTCCCTGTATCAGGTTCCTTGCTCAGCCGGGAGCCTGCTTCTCCCTCTGTCTGCCACTCCCCCTGCTTGTGCACTCCCTCTCTCTCTGACAAATAAATCCTAAAAAAAAAAAGAAGAAGTCAGTTGACACATTTTGGCCTCATTTTGTATTAACAAAACATACAATTATATATACATTCATATGCATATAAATGTAAATGTATATATATATTAGTATAACATTGACATAACAATGATAATAATTCATATATAACATTGATTATAACTTATATAATAATATATTTTAGTATTTAATATCTTATAGTCATTATTTAATTCATGCAGCTAGATAGTGCAGCAACTGCCATGAACTCCATATACTAAAGAAGTAATCTTAAATATATTTTTTCACTTTTTTGTCATATTACCTCATTTATATCATTGGTATGTTTGTAGAATGTAGGGTGTTTTTTTTTTCAAGACTTTGTTTATTTATTTGTCAGAGAGCACAAGCAGGGGGAGCAGCGGGCGGAGGGAGAAGCCAGCTCCCTACCTAGGTCTGGATTTTCTTCTATCAACTATAACTGAGTTTGTTGTGTCTTTTAGCACATTGGAAGTGTAGAACTGATATACCTTTTGTAGTTTCTGATAGAGTTAAGTCACTTATCATATATTATCATATCCATAGATATATATACCATTCTTTTTTTTTGGCTACTCCACGCCTATTGAATATTTTTTTTCATAATTCAAAAAAATATTTTGATTGAGCACCAAAGTTGAATGTACCGAATTGTAAGTTTGCAAATGTGCTGTTCTATCTTAAATCTTTTCTTTTTCCAAATAGCAATTTGATAAGATTGACCTGTTTTACATTATGTGTAAGTGTTCAGAATTATAAATGCTTGTGGATATAAACTTGATTAGAATATGATTATCCCAGAATTGTTAAAGCTAGTGATCTTTTTACCCATTCATTTAGTCATTTATTCAATAACTCTGATCTTTCTGACCCTCAGTTTGTCCAGATCTCAAAAGGTTGTGAAGACTAACAGTGTATATAAAATACTCTCAGAAATTAGAAACTAAAAAATACAAATAACAAAAAAACCCAGCCTGCAATTTAGTACTTTATTCTGCCTTCAGACCTACTGTAAGACATGTTGTCCTTTGCTGTTCCACATATAGCAGAAATTAAGTTTTTCTAGCAGGTACAGATCCCTATGCTATGCCTGATACTGTGTGGAAATCTTAGACTTGAGCTTCTACTCTTATTTATTTTTTTGCTTTTTCTAAAATGTAAATGCCTACTGTCCACCTCTAATGTGAAACTCTAAGGTGCGTGATAACAATCCAATAATAGTTTCACTGTGAGTGAGAGTGCGGCTGATACAATATTTTTGGAGGGCAGTGAGGCAGTATCTTTGAAAATTTTGAGTCTACATATCCTTCACTCCAACAATTCCACTTCTAGGGATTCAGATATAGATGTATACATATTTCAGGGCATTCATATTGCAGCCCGTCTGTAATACAGAACGAAAACCTGAAAAAACCAAAAAGTCCATCAGTATTGGACTGGTTATACAGATTATGTTTCTTATAATCAATGAAATACTATGCATACCAGGCATTGAAAAGAATAGAGCGGATGTATGCATAAATTGGGAAAATCAGCATCCAAAATAGATTGTAGGATACATATACTACATTGCTTTTGTATAAAATAGGAGATACCTACATATGTTTATATATATACACACACACACACACAGAGTAAGTGTGAATGTGAGCAGTTGGAAAATATCTGGAAGAACTACACAAGGAACTGGAAGAGTGGGACTTAACTTTCACTCCATATCCTGCACTGTTTGAATTCTGAAGTGCACCAACGTGCTCATCAAACCTGTGCTACCGGCCCCCAGCTTAGGAGGGCACTATAGTTCCCCGACTCCTGTTTAGTAATCAAACTATAGTCGGCCGGCCTGCGTGGTTACGTCATCACGACTGTCGGTGGCGCGTGCGCAATAGCAAAGGGCCTGGGAACGACGTGGGTTGCTGCCTATTCGCTTCCGGTCCCGGATCTTGTTTTGGCACCGAAGGCGCCGGGCTGGCGGCGTTGTCGCTCTTGCCGTTGGGTGGGCGGCATCTTGGGGCCCAGATGAGCCAGTGGCATCGTGCCCGTGGCGGCTGGGGCCAGGGACGCGCGTTCTCTGGACGTAGCTCAGCCAAGAAGAAGCGCGGAAACCACGTCCCGGAAAGGTAATCTGCCTTGGCCCCGGGGCGTGGCCCTCCAGCTCCGAGCTCCTGGGCCTGGGCTCCATCTCTGTCCCTGCTCTCTGTCCCTGTCCCCGCCGAACGCTTGTGGTCGAACGCTTGTGGTCGCCCCACCTGGGAGGCACGATGCTCTAGCTGTTCCGCCCACGGTATCCGATCATCTGTGAGGTTCTGATTTTTCCCCATTCTGTTGAAAGCGAGGCTCTGGCCATTGCTTTTCCGGTAAAATGCGGAGGGATGGCTTAAGATGGGACTGCCAGTGTTGGGGACAACCCCTTAATTACCAAATTGGAGTCTCCCTCAGCTTCTCGATCTGTGTTATTTTGGCACAGCAAATATGACTAATAAGAACCTAGTTCGAGCGAAAAAACCCACCAGGACATCCGAACTTTTCCATCGAAAAAGTTGATTTATAATGTTTCTAGGAATCATAGAGGGGATACTGTTGCTTCCTAACACGTCTCATTTGAGATAGCTGCTTCTGTACAAATGATTAATTTTGAGGCTTTGCTTGTGTGTGCGTTGAACTCTTGTATTCCTTGAGCCCTTCCTTTCCTTCCATCTTCTACATCAGGTCCCTTTCATTTTATCTCCTTAATATCTTTAACCTGTCAGTTTCTGTCAGCATCCAAATACAGAATTTGACTGATCTGTTGCGGTTAGGTCCTAACTAGTGTACGTTTATCTACTCTTGTTTCCTTCCAATCCATTCTTCACACAAGAAGTCATTTTAATAGACTAGTTCAAATATTGCTCAAAAACATATATCAAAAACATTGTTTTAAGAATAAAAAGAAACTCTTTACCATGGTCTTTAAGACTCTACATAGTCTAGACTCTTCTTTTGCTTCTCCAGCCCCATCTTGTGCCACTTTTGTCCTCACTTTCTGTGCTTCAGCTATACTGAATTAACCTTATTTAACTAACTCATCCTACAGACATCAGCTCAAGTATCACTTTTCGCTGTGACTCCTAACATTACTAAGTGAGGTTCACAGCCCCTTTTCTATCAGGTTGTCTTTTAAAATATGAACTTGAAGTTTCCTATTGATTGATTTTGATGGCATCAGTTGTATAAGGACTAAAAATAAACAGTGAAGTGAACTGAATTTAAATTATTTCAGTCGACAGGTAGGTATTAATGACATCTTAGTATTCAG